GTTTGGTCCAGTGAGTTGTCCTATCAACATCCACATCATCAAAATAATTAATAAAAAATAAAATAAAAATCAATTAAACTCTAACCAACCCACCACTCCAATCCAACCCAACAAATTACTCTCTATCTCCTCTCCCTCTCCGCACAGCTAAGGAATATTTGACGACTTCTCTTTACACTGCCAGCCATTCTCCTCTCCATAACTGCAATCACAATTCTTTCCATGATAAACAGCCACAGAAGGAATCCAACAAAACAAATTTGATATAGTGCGCCATACAATTGATGAAGCACGATAAATTTGGCGATTGGGAGAAAGAGGAATTGAAAAGCAGAGGTTGGCGGTGTGCGGTGGGAAGCAAAGGAGTGATTGCAAGGCGACGGCGGGGAAATGTAGGAGTTATGGAGTGGGATGGAAGAGGGAAAATTTATGTAATTGAGAAAGTAGTTGGGAATGGATTGGAGGTAAGGATTGACGATGGCGGCAGGGAGAATTGAAGATAGCGGAGAGCGAAAGTGGCGGGGAGAAAATTTCTGGTGGCGGCGTCCTTGATCTTCCTCAGCCGGAGATATGATGAAGAGGGAGAGGAGATAGAGAGGAATGAGATGGGTTGGATTGGGGTGGTGGGTTGGTTAGTGTTTAATTGGTTTTTATTTATTTTATTTATTAATTATTTTGATGATGTTGAAGTTGACGGGACAGATGATTGGACCAAACTAACGGAATTACCTTTTTGTTATTAGTCCAAACATTAGTTATCGAAACGTGCAAAATTAAAGGTTTGTGTCCATTTTGTACAAAGTGAATAGTTTTGTTACCATTTATGATAATTACCCATACTTACCATATCCTACACCACTCTATAGGTTGCACTGGACCTATAGTTGGGATTTAGTGTAATGGTAGCCGAGTCAGGCCTTGGTTGAGAAAATGGACGTCTTGGTTGATAACCGGCGGTTGGTCTTGGATTAGTTGGTGATGATCAAGCAAAATTTGGATTGTTGCACCAACCCAGATTGTACGTATTGCTATAGGGATTATTTATTGTTGGAATCCCTAGCATTAACAATGAAATGAACTTGCTCTATCAGAGTGGTTACATCCATCATAATTTGACATTTTCCAACACATGATTGGGGCTTGAATATCATTCACAAACCATTACCAAACTCTTGCCTTGAGTTGTATCCTTCGCCAATACCTTGATCAACCCATCTATCTTCGCTTCAAGAGAAGGATTTGCTTTGGTGGAATACACTCATTTATCAAGAATCTTCATTCCTTGCCTTGTCATACCCCAATCATAGCCCTTTGTGGCCATTTCTTCAAACAATTCCATTATTTGAGGTGGAGTTTTGGTAAGCTTATTCCCTTGGCACAAGAAATCGATGAGCATCCCGTCCTCTAGAAAGAGACCATTGTAGAAAGTTTCAATCCTAAAATGCTCACCAAAACCGTGGTGTGGCTATTGTAGAAAGAGATCGGAGTAATCCTCCCAAGCATCTCTCAAAGTCTCGTAATCTTTTTGAGAAAAATGGGTGATCCTTCATAACTTCATCGTCTTGAAAGGCTGAAAATTCCTTGCCATGAACAATGCATTTAAAAGTGCGATTCTAGCTAGAAGCGGAAAATGGGTAAAATCGTAAAACGTAGAATCAAAGCGTAAAAGTGTAAGTTTTTACGCACCCTCTAAAATAGTTAAAATATGTTAAGTACAATATATAGTATGTAATATGTGAGTATGTAGATTTTAGATAAGTGAATAACTACATGAAATTCATAATTAAAATGTAATATCTAACACATAAACTAATTTGTGTTGACTCAAAAGTAGAGAAAACTCGTAACATCTTAATAATAAGCTCAAAACATAGATCGTAACCCGTAAACGAGCTTGAGAATCCAAATTCTCATAATCTGGTTTGAGTTTAATAATTACATATGATAAATTACACATAAACTTTTATCGTAACCCAGGTAAGAGCCACATGTGAAGATTAAGGGAGCAGACTGATAAAAGGTCAACGACTGTTGAGAATACCATTAGGTGTCTTTTTACCCTAATGTGAAGCCCCTATCTCGACACTAGTTGTAGAACGAGTGATGAATCATGTTTTCCTTTTTTTATTTTTTGTTGATATGTCTCCAATTAGCACATTTTTATGAGATTATCAAAATCGTGTTAAAACGCTTCAGAATCGTGATTCTACCAATTTTAAGTGATTTTACCGATTTTACCCATGCTTTTACCAGTTTTTGTGACTAAGCGACTTTAGGAAGAAACTGAAACGATTTGGTGGCCGAGATACGTAAAAACGTAAGTTTTTACATTTTAATGCGCGATTTTGACTGCACAGGCCATGAACTTAGTCAACAAGTGATTGATAGTGAAGGTCTATTGTTCAACCAACTTTGTGTCTTGCCGCTTGAGGAGTATAGAAAGATCCCCAACCTAAGAGCTTCTTGTGGCACTCCATTTATCTTGAAACCATCCGACAAC